TCCACATTTTGTCTGCCTTCCACTTACATTTTTAAAATCCCTAGAAATAGCAGCATAAGAAAACAGGAGAACTTTGAAAGGGGGGAAATATGGGCTTCCTGGAATTTGTGGTCGTATGTAATCTACATTTTCTTATTACTTTTCACAGATAAAAGATGAAATGCTATATAATCCTGCAATCTGGTAATGTCAATAGGTAGCTATAAAAGAAATGCCTATAACTTGTAGTGTACTCCCTGCTTTTTTCTTCTAGTAATTTGAGGGGATGAAGTCTTATGTTGAGTTCCTTGATCCATTTGGAGTTGAGTTTTATAAAGGGTGAGAGTAAAGCATCTAATCACTGTCTTCTACACAAAGCCATCCAAGTTGACTGGCACCATTTTTTGACATTGGTCTTTTCTCCAATATTTTCATCATTTTTTAAAAAAAATGGTAGATTTGAGCACAGGTCTATGTCACCTAAGTTGGTTTAATATTTACTCCTGAATGGGAAAGAGACAAATTTATTGAGAAACTACTAAGCACTTTATACTTCATATATTACCACATTTAATACTCACAATGGCCTTGCAGGTATTATTATCTCTAATTCCCAGTCAAGAGATACATTTGGTATTGGTAATATTTTGCTTCAACTGGGGCCTACATGGTAGATGTGGCTAAGTACCAGACTGGATGAAAATGGTCATTTCCAAAGTTCTCTCCACTAACATAGCACATATTTATTTGGTTATGTATCTTAAGTTTAGGAAATTACCGGAACCAATCACTGGGCTAAAGAAGTGGCCTGGTGGGCTGAAGAGATGGCTCAGTGGTTAAGAGCACTGGCTGCTCTTCCAGAGGACGAGGGTTCAATTCCCAACACCCACATGGAAGCTCACAGCTGTCCATAACTCCTCTTCTAGGGGATCTGATTCAAACATACTTGCAGGCACAACACTAATGCATTTAAAATAAAATAAATAAATTATATACAAAAAAAATCAATGGCCATGGGAGCACAGGCTTGTATGTGAGTCCTCAATTCTATTCCATTGATCAATGTGCATTTTCCTACCAGTGCAATGCTGTTTTTGTTACTATAGCTCCGTAGCATAATTTAAAATCTGGGATGTTGATACCTCCAGTAGTGTTACTATATTAATAGAGATTTTTTTTTTTGTTTCTGTGAAAAATTGCATTGGAATTTTGATAGGGATTGCATTGAATACATAGATTACTTTTAGTAGGATGGACATTTTTACCTTATTAATCTTACTAGACTATGAGCATGAGAGGTCTTTCCGTCTTTTGGTATTGTCTTTCATTTCTTTCTTCAGTGTGTGAAGTTTTCGTTGTACAAGTCTTTAACTTCCTTGATTAGATTTATTCCAAGCTATTTTTGATCCTATTGTGAATGGATTATTTTATGCTTTCTTAATATGTTTTTCATCTATATACAGGAAAACTAGAGATGTTGTTTTTTTAATTTGGTACCCTACAACATTGCTGAATGTATTTTTCAGCTCTAGCTTTCCTGTGGAGTCTTTGGGACCTTTTATGTGTAGAATCATATCTGCAAATAGGTGTACTAGACTTCTATTTTTCCTATATGTAACCCCTTTATTGTCTTGTTTCATTGCTCCACCAAGGACTTCAAGTACTTTATTGAAGAAGAATAGAAAGAGTGGCCATTCTTTTTTTTTTTTTTTTTTGGTTTTTCGAGACGGGGTTTCTCTGTGTAGCTTTGCGACTTTTCCTGGAACTTACTTGGTAGCCCACGCTGGCCTCGAACTCACAGAGATCCACCTGCCTCTGCCTCCTGAGTGCTGGGATTAAAGGCGTGCGCCACCAAGAGTGGCCATTCTTGTCTTGTTCTTGATTTTAGCAGAAATTATTTCAGTTTTTCTCCATTTATCATGATATTTGTTGTGGGCTTATAGTGTGTGTGTGTGTGTGTGTGTGTGTGTGTGTGTGTGTGTGTGCTGCATATGTGAGCATATTCTTACAAAGTATATTAACAAATAATTTTCCCTTAACCCAGTTGCAACATCTATAGGATTACCACCCTGCCTATAATGCCAGTGTAATTCTGTACCTGTCAAACAGGAAAGGCAGAAGTTTTGTACAAAAACCTTGACCTTACAAGTATAAACTTAACACTCACATAATCTTTGTTTTAATTAAAATTGTGACCTCAGGCCAGGTCACAGGGGACTTATATATTGTCATTATTAGGTTGAAATATCAACCCTATATCCCTAGATTCTCGAGGACTTCTGTCATGAAGAGATATTGGATTTTCTTAAAGGCATTTTCGGCATCTAATGAGCTGCTCATGAGGCTTCTCTCCTTGAGTCTCTGTGGTGGATTAAATCTACTGGTTTACATGTATCAAACCATTCCTGCTTCTCTGGGATGAAGTTAAATTATCTTTTGGATGTGGTCTTGAATTTGGCTTGCAAATATTTTAATGGAAATTTTTGTGTTTATATTCATTAGAGAGATTGGCCTATATACTTCCCTTTTTTGTTGGGTTTTGAACTGGTTTTGGGATCAGGGAAATGATGGCTTAGTAAAACAAATTTGGAAGTGTTCCTTCCTTTTCTATTTTATAGAACAACTTGAGGAGTATTAGTGTTAATTCTCCTTTGAAAGTCTGGTGGAATTCTGTGCTGAATCTCTCTGGCCTGGGTGTTTTTAGTTGGGAGAGTCTTTCTAATTTTGTTTTTTATTTTTTATGATATGATGTTGTAGAAATTCTTTTAAAAATCTTTAAGTACCATGTGAGATCACAGCTGAAAACGACAGTATGACATGATTACTGACCTGAAGACGTTCTATTGCTACTGCTTGGTGTTTGCCTTGGAGTTTCCCAGTATAGGGATTTTTCTGCTGAGGTCCTGGCACACAGAACATGTTTCTTTGAGCTCTTTTATTCTTTCTTTAAATTTTTCATTCATTTTTATTTTCTTTCAGATTTAATTTTTAATGTTAATATTTCCTGATTTTTATTAATTCTTTGGAAATTGCATGCAATGATTTCTAATTTTTTATTTTAAAGATTTTTTCCATTTTCCATAACAACCACAGTTCCTCCTCCCTCCCCTCCTCTCCTTCACCCCCCAACTTCCCCCCACTCAATCCTTTACCCATTCCTCAGAGAGGGTAAGGCTTCCCATGGGGAGTTAACAAAGTCTGGCATGTTGAGTTGAGGCAGGACTAATCCCGCTCCCCCTGTATCAATATATCCCAAGGCATAGAAAATGGACTCCAAAAAGCCAGTTCATGCACCATGGATAAATCCTTGTTCTACTGCCAGTAGTCCCACAAACTGACCAAGCCACACATCTGTAACCCTCATTAAGAGGGCCTAGTTCAGCAACCCCAGAGAAACTAGGTAACAAGGAGGACCCTAATAGAGACGTGCATGGATCATTGTTGGAAGGGGGCATAGATAAGATCTCCTGAGTAAATAGTGAGCATGGGGAGAGGTAAGGGAAGGTGGCAAGAGAACATAAGGGAACTAGGTAGTTGAGCTGGGGGTGGGGGAACAGAGAGGGAGAGCAAGGAAAGAGATACATTTTTCTATTTATTTAAATTTTTAATAATTTTACTTACCAACCACAGATGTCCCTCTCATTACTCTTCCTGCTCCCCTCAGAATCTCTCCCCCCACTTCCCATCTCCTCCTCCAAAATTGTAAGGCCTCCCATGAGGAGTCAGTCAGCAAAGCCTGGTACATTCAGTAGAGGCAGATCTCAGCCCCTCACCCCTGCATCAAGAGTAAGCAAGACAGGTGATGGGTCAAGAAACCCAGCTCATGTACCAGGGATAGATCCTGATGCCACTGCCAGGGGCCCCTCAAACAGACCAAACTACACAATTGCCCCCCTATGCAGAGGGCCTATTCCAGTCCCATGCAGGTTCCACAGCTGTTGGTCCATAGTTTGTGACTTCCTACTATCTTGGTTCAGTTGTTTCTGTAGATTTTTCCCATCATGATCTTGACCCCCCTTGCTCATATAATCCCTCTTCCTTCTCTTCAGCTGGACTCCCAGAGCTCGACCTGGTGCTTGGTTGTGGATCTCTGCATCTGCTTCCATCAGTTACTGGATGAAGGCTCTATGATGACAATTAGGGTCTTCACCAATCTGATTACCAGGGTAGGCCAATTTAGGTACCCTCTCCACTATCGTTAGTAGTCTAAGCTGGGGTCGTCCTTGTGGATTCCTGGGAATTTCCCTAGCACCAGGTTTCTCCCTGACCCCATAATGGCTCCCCCTATCAAGATGAACCCAGCTAAGACTCTAAAAGTCCAGTCAAAGACAGGGAGGAGGGGGTATATGAGCAAAGGGGTCATGATCATGGTGGGAAAACCTGCAGAGACAGCTGACCCAAGCTAGTTGGAGCTCACTGACTCTAGATTGACAGCTGGGGAACCTGCATGGGACCAAACTAGGTAATACTGTTTTAATATCTCTTTTCAATTCTCATCATATTGGTAAGGAGGTTTCAGTTATTTTGATTAGTTTAGCTTATCATTTGTCTGTTTACCTTTTCAAGGAACCAACTCTTCATTTCATTGATTCTTTGCATATTTTGTTTCTAGTTCATTGATTTCAGCCCTGATTGATAGAGACCTTTAAAGATGAAATGAAATTTTCCCTTAAAGAAATGAAAGAAAAGACAAACAAAAAAATGGAAGAAATCAATAAATCCCTTAAAGAAAGGCAAGAAAGAGCAATTTAAAAGGTGAATGAAACAGTCCAAGATTGAAAACTGAAATAGAGGCAATAAAGAAGACACAAAATGAGGGAATGCTGGAAATGGAAAATCTGAGTAAATAAACAGGAACTACAGATCCAAGCAAAAGCAATAGAATGTAAGAGATGGAAGAAC